TAGCCATGCTTTCTAAGGCCCACTTGACTTCACTCTTCAGGATGTCTGGCTCAAGGTCAGCAATCACACTATCTGGGTTGTCCGGGATATCCAAATCTTTCTGGTATAATTCCTCTTGTATACTTGCCACCCCTTCTTGATGTTTTCTGCTACTGTTAGATCCCTCCCATATTTGTCCTTTATCATGTACATCTTTGCACAAAATGTTCCTTTAATAACTCCAGTTTTCTTGAACAGATCTCTGGTTTTCGCCTTTCTATTATTTTCCTCCATATCTTTGCATTATTCATTTAAGAAGGCCCTCTTGTCTAGCCTTCCTATTATTTGGAAATCTGCATTCAGTTTTCTGGAGCTTTCCCTATCTCCCTTGCATTTTGTTTCCCTTCTCTTCTCTGCTATTTGTAAGGTCTCGTTGGACAGCCACTTTGCTTTCTTGCATTTTCTTTCCTTTGAGATGGGATGGAGGCAGTGACAGATTTTACTTTCTTGGGCTCCATGATGACTGCAGATGGAGACAGCAGCCACAAAATTAAAAGATGCCTGCTTCTTGGGAGGAAAGCAATGACAAGCCTTGACAGCATCTTAAAAAGCAGAGACATCACCTTGCCAACAAAAATCCACATAGTCAAAGCTATGTTTTTTCCTGTAGTGATGTATGGAAGTAGGACCTGGACCACAGAGAAAGCTGACCGCCGAAGAATTGATGCTTTTGAATTGTGGTGCTGGAGGAGGCTCTTGAGAGTCTCCTGGACTGCAAGGAGAACAAACCTATCCATTCTAAAGGAAATCAAACCTGAGCGCTCATTGGAAGGACAGATCCTGAAGCTGAGGCTCCAATACTTTGGCCATCGTATGAGAAGACTCCTTGGAAAAGACCTTGATGTTGGAAAGTGTGAAAGCAAGAGGAGAAATGGATGTTGGGAAAGTGTGAAAGCAAGAGGAGAAATGGGCGACAGAGTGGTTGGACAGTGTCATCGAAGTGGCCAACATGAATTTGACACAACTCCGGGAGGCAGTGGAGGATAGGAGGGCCTGGCGTGCTCTGGTCTATGGGGTCGCGAGGGGTCGGACATGACTAAATGACAACAATGGGATGGTTTTTGTTGCTGCTTCCTGTATAATGTTACGAGCCTCCATCCATAGTTCTTCAGGCACTTTGTCCACCAAATCTAGTTCCTTAAATCTACAGAATCAAGTAGACC